TGTCCTCTTGTTGCTGCATCTCCAGTTCCTGCTTTTGAGTTTTATTCTAATATAGGGAGAAATTATTTTTTTTATAATTTTGTTGTCATTTTTGCCTTTTAGGAAGTGGAACAATCTCGGTAGGGATTCAAAATCACCCTTGTTGGCTCATGCACTGAATTTCTGTCCTCTCGGCAGGCACATGGTCACTGCTCCTGCTTTGCCCCTTGCTCAAGACATGTCCACCATGACACACTTATCAGTTTGTCCAGAACAGACTCCAGCTTGGTGCAGGCAGGGACAAGGCTCTGCTTGGGCTCCCTGGTAATTCCTTCTATTTTCACTGCTCTCCAATCCGGCAATTTCCCTGATTCACTTTTCAATTACTCCGGGGTTTATTGTTGTAATGACAGCAACCAGGGAGCAACTCTTAACTTTTATTGACTCCACTGAGAGCCAAACCGTGACTGTTGCAAGCTGAGAACTTTCTATAGGATTTATAATTAGTGGAAATCAATGGTGCAGCTTCTGAAGCTCGGAACACACTGGGAGCACTGAAACAGAAACCAGCTGTGCCCAGTGCTGAGCCTCAGACTCCCCAGGAGCTGAATGGAAACCTCTCCTTGTACAGGGATGTTTGGATCCTATGGAGAGCACCTAGATGGAACTCAGCAATTGTCCCCAGCAGAAGGAGGATGTTGTCCCTGGACACATCTGGAAGGGAAAGTGGGCCTGTAGCTTCCTGACTTCTCCTTGATTTAAATTTCCTGTTGGGAATGAAAGCAGAGTCCCAACCAATTCCTTCATCTCCTTAATCCAAATGTTCCAAATTTATAGCTGATGGACAGCTGCCTTGCCTGCAGAGCACCATTTCCAGATACTTCTGTGTCCTACCTGGAATTCTTTCCTCTAGTGGGAGATGCCCCTCTGGGAAAGACTTGCTTCTCCAAAGAGTTAAATGCTGAAATAGCCCTTATGATAATTCCATTTAATATCAGTTCTGCTTTTAAAAAAAGAGTGGGAGGCTCCTCTCTTGAAACCCAAGGTGGCACTGGGATTCAAGAGAGGAGCCTGCCAGTCTTTTTTGGGTGATGCCAGGCTGAGACCCTGCAGGAATTGGAGCAGGGCCTCTCTGGTGACCTGCAAGATCTTTTAAAGCCACTGATAAAAATGCTCTGCTCAACAAGTGGTGGGACTGGCTCCTCTGGAGGGAAGGTTTCAGCCAGGAGAGCACTCAGACACCGGTTTCCCAGGTAAGCCATCTGGAAAAGGTCATCTTGGGCTGCTGAGGGCTCCAAGTGGAGACTGGGACAGCAGCAGGAGAGCAGGATTTTGCCTGGTGCTTTTGAAAATCAGGTGTGCAAACCCGAAAGCTTCAGAGAATCAGAGAATCATTTAGGTTGGAAAAGATCACTGAGTTCAACCATTGTCCCAACATCAATTCCACCACTAAACCATGTCCCTAAGCACCACATCTGTGTAGCTGAGACTTCAGGTTTGGGGCAGAATAATGTCTGAATTATGAGATAACATCACTGTTTTGCTCTCAGACCTAGTGCACGTCAGGCCATGTGTCGAACACCCACCAGGCAGATGCAAACTGACCCTTCCCACACTGCCAAAACAC